ACCAAAATACTCTAAATTTTCAATTAAAAAAAAAAAAAAAGTCTTGACACAAATGTGTTTCCCACCCCCCCCAACCCTTCCCAGTTCCCTCCCTAAGTCTGAAGAGGAAGGAATTAAAATAAAAACACATAAATGGCTGCTTTAAAAATATACGAAGTAAAAACTGAATTTGCTATTAACCATTTGCAGAAGAGGCAAAGTAGCAGTTATACAAATTACACAAAATCTACCGTAATTCTTACATTAGTATAAAGTGATTTCACTGAAGGAATTATTTCAATATTTCACATTACAGTTAAGATAGAGGGGGTGTGGCAGCGCTCCCACGCCCTCGTTAATGTCATCTATCCTAGATTACACACGACAGTTTTAAGAAAGGACCCTTAAATGATCTACATCTGTATCATGTTATTGGCCTTAAAAAAAAAAAAAAATCACTTGCAATACCTCACAGAATCTTCACGTTAAAGCACGACCACCGTGTAAGAGTCCTTGTCAAATAACCTGCAGAAATGAGGGAGCACCCTGCTACGAGTGCTCCCCCCACTTGTGTGACCGGGCACCAGGCGGTTTCATCGGAGAGCGAAATTCAAGTAAGACTGAGCTGTGCTGGCGTCCTGCGAGCGTCTGCGGAGGGCTCATGTGCTGGAGGTCCACACGTGCATCTGTTTCGCTATCTGGTGCACGTAGCCAACGTCGGGCCGCTGGTCCGGGTCGGGGTATATGCACATGCTGACCAGCTCCCGCAGCTGAAAGACAGGGACAGAGGCAGGCAGGCGTCAACGGCTCCGCTCCTACTGGAACGGCTGCGGGAACGGCTGTCTGGACCTGGGAACCTCTCCTGTGCTGACACGTCCATCCGTCCATCCCATCCCATGTGTCCCCCCCCAGAAGGACCAGGCAGAACCTTTTCCACCAGATCTTCAGCACTGCAGATGATCTGAACCTTCCACACAACCCAGGGGATTTTCCACCGTCCCTACAATGTGCTGGTCGCACCCCC